CTTCTATTCAACGAAAGGAGACTGCGACCACACAAAAGGCCACACCATCTTGGTCTTTATACCTTCCATAATTAAGTATATTTAAAAAAATAATGCTGTCCAGAATAATTATTATTTGGCTCACTTTTTTCCATGGAGTCATTCCTGAAAAAGAGAATAATCTAGGGTTATACTCGGAAGCCTGGTAGCTATATAGCTCATAAGTAGTTGCCGGCTCAAAATGAAAGGCAACAGGAGGAAGACTGAACTTGACGCACACACCCTCTGAAAGAACAGAAAATAGTAAATGTTAATTGGAGGATAGTTCGAGAGCGACCATTCCAAATAATGAAGTATTTTTTATTGAAAATATTAGGAGTAAGGTTATCTTAATAAGCCTGCTTAATCAGGCAAGAATAATGTTTTATGTACCTTCATCTGAAGGAGCAATTTCAACGAAGACAGGAGGTTGAACTCTAGGAGCATGCGGAACTAATGGAACGGAATGTCGTTGAGGAAGAGGCGCGACAGGTAGTTCCTGATATTGCAGAGATTGTTGAGGCATCGAAGAAAGGTTGTGAGTTGAATGCTGGTTTATTTGCCTATTTTGAGCAAGTAATTGATTGGGCATCAAATGAAAACCATCAGGACATGCCGAATGGAATGAGGCTTGATTGACAGCTGACGGGACAACCGATTGGGAGGGCCTAGGCAGCATATCTTTTAGGTTCCCGGTATCACGAGAAGTTTTTGCTGAAGATGTGGTGGAATTCTGGAAAGAGCTGAAGGCCTGAGTAAGGCCGTTCCTCTGACTGTAAACTGAAGTGGGGAATGAGGATCTAGAAAGCGGATCTGTTATTAAATTTTCTGAAGTCAAGTCAATTGCTTGATTGGACATTGTGCAAGGTATAATGCTTGAGCAGAGGGGCGCAGAACTATGAGAAATATTTTTTTGCATGTTGGAGCACAAAGAACCAGAAGTAGCATAAGGAACTTTGGGAGGCATGTAGATAGGTGGCTGCATGAGATCAGGATTGTGCTCCAAAATGGATGTTGTACAGACCTGCCTGGAAGGATCTGAAAGGAGTGACGAATGAACTGAAGAAAAACCAGCAGGAATTGTAGCATTTTGCATTTGAGTTGGAGCCAAATTTTGACGGAGCTCAGATTGGTTGTTTGTATGAGTTTGTTGGGCAGAATGTCCTTCAGAAGAAGATGCCAGGCGTGGGGCCTGACTAGAAAGCTTGCGAGGTTCAGATTTATGATTAGTCGGAGCCGGTAAAGGAGGTTTTTGCTGCTGAAAAAATGATAAAAGTAAGCATACTAAAAAAACAAAAAGCGCATAGGCAAAAAAATACGCACCGATTTAATGCTCGTTTTTACTTTTTGAGCTGAACGTTCAATGGATTCTATTCGTTTTCGTAGCTCATCAGTTTCACGTCGGGCAGATTCGCTCTTTGACAAAGCCATCTCAGAAGTGCGAAAAATTTTTCCATATGCAGCCGATAAGCCAGTGGAAATAAGTTTGCGGAAAGAGCAACGGAGATCAGATAGAATTGCATCCGATGAAGAGAAAAGGGTTTCTAAATCGCATGATTGCTCTTCGGCAGATTTTTCCAGGTCGCTTGATAAATGCAACTTTGAGCGCTTTTCACTCGACTGTGGATAGATATCATCCTGATTCGACCTCTTCCTGGTCTCGGTAACAACATCCTCGGATGTATGAGAATACATCAGGGAAGATGGGAAGAGAATAATGGGCGTATTACTATATGGTAAGAGACAATAGTCGATGTC